CCATATTACTGTATAGGTCCAGAGCAGGTCCACTGCCGGTTCAGATAGAGGTAGAGGAGGTGGAGGTGGTCAACAAGTACAAGTACTTTGGTCTGTGGGTGGACAACAAACTGGACTGGTCATGCAACACAGAGCACCTGTATAAAAAAGCCCTGAGCCGACTGTACTTCCTCAGGAGGCTGAGGTCTTTTAACATCTGCAGGAAGTTCCTGAGGATGTTTTACCAGTCAGTGGTTGCTGGAGTACTTTTCTATGCTGTGGTGTGCTGGGGGAGCAGCACAGCAAAGAAGGACTCATCCAGGCTAGAGAAACTGATCAGGAAGGCTGGCTCTGTGGTCGGCATGAAGCTGGACACTCTGGTGACAGTGGCAGAGAAAAGGACATTAAAGAAACTGCTGGACATTATGAACAATGCTGGGCATCCTCTGCACACGGCCATTAACAACCAGAAGAGTCTGTTCAGTGACAGGTTGCTTCTCTCAAAGACAAGAACCAACAGACTTAAAAACTCCTTTGTCCCACACGCCATCAGACTGTTTAACTCCTCTCTGGAGGGGAGGGAGGGGAAACAGGAGGACAAAGGAGGGGGGGGGGGGGGGGGGGGGCAACTAAGCTGTAGTGCCTTTTCACTGTGCAATACTTTTTGTTAATATCCAACGGTGCAATAGACTTCAATACTTGAAATGTGCCATTCCCTTGTATTATTATTCCTATTTATTCTATTTATCCCTTTTGTATTCTCTTTATTTATATATGTCTCTGTATTTATATATGCGTATGGTATTCTGCTCACATTCTGTAACTTCTGTCAGTGCTGTGTTTTTGGAAACCGAATTTCTCGGAGGAACCCACCCGAGGGATTAATAAAGTTTTATCTAATCTAATCTAAAAGCTTGAATATTTATATCCTGTTCATATCCTGTACATAGCTTGTACACTCACTACAGCCTGTACATACTTATAGTTATAGCATATTCATAACATACCTTCATACCGTGTACATTGTAACATACCTATAATAGACCCATTTTTGTAATATATCTATATTATTGCCAAAGCACTTCTGGATGGATGCAAACTGCATTTCATTGCCTTGTACTTGTGAGATGTGCAATGACAATAAAGTTGAATTCTATTCTATTGCACATTGAATTCAGCTTCATACTTGCAAACTCTAAATAACCTCAGCACCGTCTCCCAGTTAACCCTGCTCTCTTAATAAGCTGTCAAATTATTCCAGGAAACAACAGTCTCAGCTTCCAAGACCCCAAATCAAAAAACTGTTAAAACCTGTCATAACACTGCATTTGTTTTGTTGGTGCATTACACGCTCCCTCTTGGAAACAGTTCATTATCCACTTCTCTTAGCCCCGCTCAAGTTTGAACTGAATTGGCTACACAGTTGCTCAAAAATGAGCACATTAGAGTAAATTATCACACCCTTCACACACACTCTTCACTCTGCTGCCTTCTGGCAAAGACGTACTGGAGCATTTGGGCCTTCACTGCCAGACCGTGAAACTGTTTCTTCCCCCAAACGACTACTGAACACTCACACTGGACTGACACACACACACACACACACACACACACACACACACACACACACACACACACACACACACACACACACACACACACACACACAAGTACGCACACCTTAATGCATCAAGCTACATTTTGCACAAAGCTCAGAGTTTTTTGCGCAACCAGCTGTCACTGATGCACATTTCTGTTGCACTGTTGTGTCTGTATCGTTCTGTTCTGTCTGGTGCTGCAATGTTTTTTGCAGTTTTTGTATACTTGCACTTTATGTAGTCCTGTGTTGATTGTCTGTTACATGTTATATATGTAGCACTATGGTCCTGGAGGAACGTTGTCTCGCTTATTCTTTTTATAGGAATCTGTTGTGGAAAACACAGACACCTTTTATTTACATGTTAAGAACTACCATGCAGTAAGTGAGGGAGAGAGGAACATGCATAGTTTAAATGGAGGCAGTAAGAGAGTGAGGATGAAGCTGCACAGATGACTTTCTGCAAGTGAAACTAATGTTTGATCGTGTAGTCAGTTATAGCTGATTAATATATGTACAATGTCAAAGAGGTCTGTTGTTGTTTAGACTTCAAATAAAATAATAAAATAATAAAGTGAGCCCTGTTGTGCAATTTGCAATTTTAAAATTTGGGCTATAAACAGAAACTGACACGTGTTGATGACCATCTGATTAGATAACAGCAAAGCAACGCTCTGGGATCTTTCAGGCGTGTCTATTGGGCAACAGTGTAAAGTCATCATTGTAAGAAAACGTGAGTCTCTGTGGACAAACTTCAAATGTAAATGATTTTATATCTTCATCATATTTGTTGCATCTGCCTTTTTGTGCAAATTATTGCTTAAAATGTTAAAATTCATGTATTCTTATGGAAAAACAAAACTGGTGTCATGGAGGACTCAAACACTTACAGGAACTCATGTGTTCGTGTTCAGTTAGTAGATATATCAAACAATGAAACAGAGTTTGTCTTTACAGGATTTGGTCGCTGAACTTTATTTAAATTTCAGTTTATTGCTGATTTCATGCTACACCCTTCTAATGTGACATTTACCTGTGGTGGAGCTCTCAGGCTCCTCCTCGTCTGAACTGTCCAGAAGTTGCTGTCTGTCCTCAGAGACCAAAGCTGCATACTCAGTGTCCTTGGTCCTCCACTGAGGTAATGAAGGTGGACAAACCAGCAGGAGGAAATAGCTGGTAAAATTGTTGGGATGAAGAAGACGACAAATCATTTTGTAAGTTTCAGCTTCATTTATACGCAGTTTACAGGGAAAAAGTCTCAAAAGGAAATACAAACTACATCCTGTCAATGTCTCATTTGACTGAAGTGAACTGGAGTCAACTGAACTCAATTAAAGTGACTATTTGGCCACCACTTCACCTCCACAGATGAAAGCATTGGGCTACCTACACCTTAGACCTACAGAAGCTTAATTCAAAATTGGACCCTTGTTAAGTCTCACTGTGGCATGCAAAACTCTAAAAATGATGAATGGACTAACTGTCTGAGCTTGGAGGCCAGCTTGGATGAGCCCTGAGTAAAGGAGGGCTCCAATAAGACCAGCAGCACCAGTGCCTGAGCCCCAGCCTTCTAGTACACTCCTGGAGCAGACAGAAAACCACGTTTAATGTTCCAGAGTAAAAATAAAAACACAGTTGGAAGACCATTCACAGCTTCTTAAACTCATTTGTGACCAGGACTTTATCTGCTGTGAGTCTAAGCTGTAAGCAGGATTACTGTTAGAAGGAAATTTGGCTGATTTTCTTGAAGGTACTATTAAAAAGCTCTGTCACAGCTGGCTGCCGGCAGAGCCCGCGGGCACGCCACTGCAACCCCCTCTGGCCTCTGCTCCGTAGCTGCTGGGTGACCTCTCGTTTGGGGTTCTACTCAGCTCTTCCCAGGAGGGTGGCACGGTTCCCCTCCCCCTTTGGTGGTCCTCCTCGGGTCCTTGTACTCTGGGGCCTCTGGATATCTGGGGCCTGGATCTCTTCCATACCTGCTTCATACCCTGGAGGACGGGGCTGTGACCCCCCCACACTCCCTAACAGATCGTTACATGGAGAAACCTTTGGAATACAAGCATGTTGATCCACACAGGTATGCACACAAGTGTACACACGGGTATTCACAGACGCGGACTACAGCTTTCTTGGCTGCTGTATCTACTTAGTATCTACTGTTATCTACTGCTAGCTAGTTTATTGTGATGGTGCTGTTTTTTACTATGTTGCTCCTTTTTTTGTTTGCTTTCTCTTCTGTTTTTTTTTCTCCATACAGGTGAGCCAGGTGTTTTGTTTGTTTTTCTTTCTTTCTTCCCCCCTTTCTCACCGTCTCTTCTCCCCTTTGGTTTTCTTTCTCTCCCTCTCTTTCTTTCATTCTTTCTCCCTGTCCTATCCCCCAGTCATGTCTGTCACGTTTGTAGCAACAGAAAATAAATTCATAATTATAATAAAGGTCAATCAAATGGACCAATATGGCAAGGCCATGATGCTCCACTTGGTAAAATAAATCCGCTTGGCATCTTTCTTGGCCTTAAGACAACAATTCTGATGGCTAAAGATCCAAGCGGGACAAAAGAAAAAAAAAAAACCTGATTGAAATAATGGGCTGAAACTGGATCGTTGTGGTCGGTTGCAATTACAACCGAATGCTTTCTGCAGAAAAAAAAGAAAAAAGAAAAGAAAAAAAGCTCTGTCACTGTGGATCTTGATATTTAGAGTCAAGCGCCCAAACGACCTAACTTAATGGAAAACGTCTGATATCAAGAATATCAGATTGATAACTCCATAACTTTTTTTTGCAACCCTGTAGCAGTCCATCTGTTCTCTGCTAGGCGTCATCACAGCCAGTTACTGAGGCCAGCTAAATTTGTGCTGCTGATGTCTTTAAATTATCTGAAAGGTCATATAACCTACTCTGTGGTGGAGAAAAATCTGCTGGTTTGTGTTTTTTGGTTTTTTTTAGTGTGTAATTTATTAATGAGCAGGTGTGTGTGTCTGTGTGCACAACTCATGGAGACAGCACTCCAACCTCTGCTTGCTTCTGGCTCTATAAAACACTATGATGCTCCAGAAACAAATGGGTGACATCAGGGAGAAAATGATGAATGGAAATTTGTGTAAAATTCATGCAAATTTTTTCATCATGCAGGAACTTAAAGATTGTGAAGAAAGTAGAATTTCAAAAGTGCAAACTTTACCCTACACTTTGTCACAGACCCAAGTCATTTAATCTGGACAAGCTCTGTTTGAATCTTCAATAAGAGAGCAGCAACTGAATCAGAATCGTGTTTATTGCCCATGTATATATGCAAACACATACAAGCAATTTGGTTCCGGTAGATGGTGACTCCCAAGCACTGCAATGTAAATCACAACAATATGTAAACAACACAATAGACACACAAATTCAAAATTGGCAAAAAGAATGAGTGAAGAGTGTTTACCTGCTGAAATATACTGTTAGAGAGAGGAAGGACAACTCTCCCAGTCCTGAGCTGATACTGGCAAAGATCACTCCTGCAAACACAGCCACAGAGAATGTGATCAGAGAGAGCAAAGAGGAAGAATTTATTCTTTTGTTTGAAGAACAAACTTCAATAAAAAGAGCTCATTTACAGGACCTTTGTGGGCAGTCACAATGGTTGCATTTTAGTTACTGGTGAACTGAATCGAATTTAGTTGCTCTTTACTGACTTATTTTATTCACATAGAGGTCTGCTTGATTCTAACAGTAATGTCTGAAATAGCGTTGGCTATTAAAATACAGCATTTCTAATGCTACTGCGAATGATATTTTGACACAGTCCACAGAAAACACTGAACTCTCGCAGTTGCAGAGAGTGAGCACAGATCTAAATTACTATTTGTGCAAGCATTCACCTTTACCTACTGATACAAATATCAATGCTTAATTCGCCCCTCTTTGTGATGTAAAATATCATTTCCAGACTCACCTCTCCACTGTGTTATAAAATATTTCACTAGCTGGGCCCTTTACAGCCTATCAGGACATTTCTAGCAAGCAGGGGCCATCTTTGCATCTGGTATCCAGCTCTTCCAGTAGATCTGTGGTGCCAGTATCACTACTGCTTTAAATTAAATGTAAAATGCCAGTTTGGCCCCATATCAGCAAAAAGTCCACTCATCTTTAAAGGTTTACATGCATACACAGCCAGCAGGATTACTATAAAAACACTAGTACTCGTATCTACGGTGGCAGCCTTTAGTTTGGGGCTGGTATGTTGGTGCCTTGGATCACCTGCTGCATCACCTTTAGACTCAGCATTTCCTGAAAGCACTCCCTCATCCACTCTTTCACTGGTACTTTTCCAATCGACAAAATGTTGGTCATCTTCAATTTGTGATTCCAGCAGAGTACTTTGTGGAGTCATTCCAAATTAAATACAAACTAGTACACAGAAAAAGAGCAGGACAAACAGGGTCATTAAAATGGCTCCATAGCTCATCATGGGACGTGCCGAAAATTCATCGAAGCATTATCGCTGTCCCGTAACCGACTGCTGATTCATATTAAACTGCCTACTTCTCATAAATTCTTTGATATGTGTATTTGACAGAAGCGTGAACTGGTACGATAAATGATTATTTATAGCAGCAGTAAAGCTCTATCAAGCTTCTGTGGAACAACCACAGATGCTCACAGTAGATAAGAAGAAATTAAACCGAAGAAAATAACTAATAAGTTTTATCTAATCCACCTTCTAAAAGCTCATCAGAGCCATATCAGACACCCTTAATGATAAAAGATCTGATCTGAATTATTAACAGGTTGCTTTACCGAGAATACTCATCCACACAGCTGAGGAGAAGGACACCAGGAGGAAACTCGTTGCTGCCATGATGGCACAGAACAACACTCGAATGCTGGGATAAAAGAACAGGAATTAACCAGGAAAGCTGGAAAGCACCATGACAGCGATGTTTTTATGCAGACAGCAAGAAGAACTCAGTCTGTTAACAACTGACTTCCTGACTATATCACACACAAAACATATAAAGTCCAATTTTTCTTTTCTTTTTCAGCTCTGATTAGTCAGCCGGGGCCACTGAAACCAGGCACAGCCATTAACCAAGTAGGTTTGTTTATTGCTCCAATTTCATATGTTTGGTCACTGCTAAGCTCTCATTCATAAATTTAACATCTTATATACATGAAAACATTAAAGCCAGACGAAAACAAATGGAGATCATTATTGCCAAAAGACATCACAGCAGCTCAGCAGCACAAAAAGAGCGCCAAAGGTGGGATTGAGTGGAAATAATATGCAAATAAAACAAAGTTCTTGTTGTTTTCTTCTTCTGTCTCTTTTTTTAAACCAAACTCAAACCTCATGTTGCCAGTGGGGCTAAAATCCTGACACCTGATACAAACACACTACTGTAAAAAAGGGAGGACGTCACAGTTTTTGTCATTTGCAAGTTTGTCAAAGAAACAACTATTTGTTTATTATCAGTGCAGTGAAATCAGATCGTACCAATAATGTGAGTGATGATTGTTAGTTCCTGTAAAAGCACAGCAAGTGGAAACAAAGAACAGCAATCAAAGTAATAATTACCCATAAGGCATTTTGTGGATCACAAAGGGAGCGAACAGTTTGATGAAGAGTGTTGGTAGGATGTCAGCTAACAGCACAGCCTGCCAAGAAAAATGTAACAACTGAACATCTGTGGACACAAATGATACAGCTTGTAGTTTCTGCCACACCATCCATCCTTATGCCCTCCTTCACTACCATCCATCAATCTCCTCTGAGGTCTTCCTCCTTCCTCTTTTCCACTCATAAAAGCTGAGAAGTTCACTTAACCCTAAACATAGAACGACTTTGAAACGTGACCACTGCCAAACTACACTGCTCAAAAAATAAAGGGAACACTTGAGTCACACATCAGATCTCAATGAATGAGATTTTTAACTTGAGAATCTGAACTGGTAAAGTACATCATGCAGTTTATTGTGGAAAAATAAGATGTAACGATGGAAATGGAATCAGAGGAAACTAAAGACATCCTCTGCCTGGAACATGATGAGTATATGAGCTCTGGCAGCGCTCCTCATCACATGACCGTCCTGCTGCAGGGTTAGAGCTGTGCACTCTGAATAGACTGCAGGTACCTTCTCTTACTATGAGTAGTGACATAGAAATAGTTGTTGTTACTCCTCCAGTGCACCTTATGCATCTTTCATTTGCACCTAAGCAGGTGAAATGCATTCACAGCAGTTTCTGTTTCCTGATTGGACAGATCAACATCTCTGAAGACTTTGTGCCAGAATCCAGTGATCAAGTATTCCTTTCATTTATTTGAGCAGTGCATATTTAAATACACATTTGTTCTCTTACAGACGCCGTTTCATTTCGTGACTCTTGTTTCTCGAGAATGTCATGTGCGGCGCTCAGCATCACCACATAAGCAAAGTTGTTGCACAAACCGAGGAGCCTGTATAGATGTGGAAAGATAAAAACGAGATACGGAGATGCATCAAAAAATAACAACTTAATCAGCGGCTGCAAAATCCCCCCTCAAATTTTTTTTAAAATAAATAAATAAATCGTGCACTCATTACCTTTCAAAACCTTTTGCATTAGCAAGCATTTATCAGCTACTCACATTCACTCACATGAATAAGACTTTCACAGTCTTTGTGCTTTCCATGTCGTTAACCTTTGTTTTCAAGCTTCTTAAAGGTCTTCCTTTTCCTTCTTCCTCCTGTCCATCCTTTCAGTTTAGTTCCTCATTATTTTCTAGCTTTGTGTATTTTTCCCTCCCTCCTTTGTTCTTTGCTTGTTTTCCAGTAGCAGCTAAAGTGCCTTTTCATTTCACTACCTGCTATGCCACCTTGGGCTTTCCATCTGTGCTTCAGTTTACTTACTAATGTGAATTATCAGTGTGACAGAATTCAATGACAACTTTTCTTTTGTGACTTATTTGTGGCTTTTTGTTATTCCTAGAAGGTTGAATGGCAATAACGTAAAGAGACAGACCGAGGGAGAGATATGCAGCAAATGGCAAACACAACAGAACTTAGGTCTCTGCAATGAGTACGAAGCGGAGCACGAGTACTCGGTCCTTGCCCTTTCCTCTGCCTTTCTGTCTCCATTTTCGCTTCGCTCCCTTTCAGTCGTACATGCTCGAGACCTTTACTTAGACTTAGAGTTTTTTTATTGTCATTGTGCAGTTTCTTGCACAGTGAAATTGGGTAGCTGGACCACAAAGGTGCAAAGGTAAGAAGAGAAAACAATATACAACAAGGGGAAAACAAATAAATAATTAAAATAAAATAAAAAGCATATATGGATACATATATGTGAGTGAAACTATATACATGGAGTATGCGTAAGAACCATTGAAACAGAAACATTGTGGGTCTGTATACAAGAGCAGTTATATAGTATAATAAATAAAAAAGGGTGGAAGGGCTAAGGTCATTTAGGGTGGAGATGGAAATTCTACTGAGACCACACCTTTTATGCCTTACACTTTAACTCCACCACCCCCCACTTTTAGATAATTTAAGTGGAAATAAACACAGCAGTAGCAGGTAACTTTTCAAGCACAATGTGTCACACTAACAGGTCTGCAGTGCAGATAAATCAAATAAAAGAGTTAAACTCTTTCATCAAAGATGGCATTCGATTGTTCAAAATATATATTTTTGGCACGTTGCCAGAATATTCAACCAAAGTCTTCAATTATTTTTCCACTGTATGTTAAAAACACATGTACATTTTTTTAGGTGTGGTTTGAGATGTAAAGGGCGGGACTAATGATAGTCATCTCTCCAGCAGTGCATATAAAGCTGCACTTGTTCCCCCCTCACCACACAGAGGTACTGCTACACTGTTCTTCATCACGGCCATGGCTTTCTGCAAACTTCTGCTAACTGTGTTGGTACTGCTGCACAACAGTGGTGGTGAGAGAGAAAAATGCTGAACCTTAATTTCCCAACTCCAGAGCCCAGATTTCAGAGTGCAGCCTCGATAGACTGATGCTCTAATGTTTATCATCCATTCTGAGCAAAATAGCAAACATGGGATTTAATTTTCTTAGATGCCTCAAACTTACATCCAGCATTTTGTTTGTGTTTTTCAGGTCTACTGGGAAATGAAGTGAGGAGCTCCATCATTGGTGCAGAGGATGCCAAAAAGGAAAGTTGGCCATGGATGGTTCACCTCAACATGACATCTCATGATTCGAAATTGGAGAAATGGGGCTGCGGCGGCACCATCGTTGCAAAGCAGTGGGTGCTGACTTCTGCACAGTGCGTGGCTAAGTAAGTCTGTGTGTGTTTGCAGAAACGTGTCTCATTATTTTTATGAACATCCTCCAGAGCAGTCATAACAAAAAAGCTTCACACTGCATGTGAGTATTTTGGGGGAATAATTACTCATAGGGACCTTCACTGTTGGCCAATAAAGACAAAATCATTTCAGGACACTTTCTGACAAGTGTCCTGAAATGGTCTGACAAGTTAGGTGAGTGGGCCTAACTTGTCAGACCTGGAGGCCTCAGTCAGTATTTAAATACACCATATGCACATTTCAGCATCTTAAGCTGTGTTTTTAGTGAGTAGCTGCATATTTACACACCCAGCAGACACCGCATCAAGTCCAAACTAATGTAATGTTTACTCCACTGCAGCTCCTTTTCTTTTAATTCCTGCCAACTATGAAAAAACATGCGCAGCCCTTTAAACTGCTGAATGCACCAGTGTCCACAAAACCCATGTGTAGTGTTGTTTTGTTGAAGGCTTGGTCATTCCAAAATACATGAGACTTAATGTGTGTGTTTCTCTTGTCATGCAGTTATGATTATCTTCGATCGTTCGTTGTTGTCGGCGCATATCAGCTGCAAAAGGTGGCTCACCGTTACATGGGTATAGCCAATACTGTTCAATACCAACACCTGGGCAACAGCAACAAAAATGACATCGCTCTGATCAAGCTGAAGAAACCGATTACATTTTCAAAAGATGTTGCACCAGTGGCTCTGCCTGACAAGGATGACACCTTTGGTCCATCATCTGAGTGCTGGATCACTGGCTGGGGGGAAGTGGGAAATGGTGGTAAGTTAAGCACAGAAAGTAGGCTTTAAAATGTTCACGCTGTAAAAGGCAGGCTCACAGATCCATTGTAAATTGCCATACTGTCACCAGTAAACTGTATTTAATTGTGTATAAACATAGCCTACGTCCATACTTTGCATAGTAAGGTACTTCACAGATAAGAAACATCACCTTTCTGTCACTTCCATACTTTTCCTGTGTGTCCACAGTTCCACTGAAAGCTCCAGAAACACTTCAGCAGCTCAAGATTTCCATCATCTCTCAGAGTACCTGTAAGGAGAGGCTTCCTCAGATAGCCTCTAATACACTATGCACAAATGACAGCAAGGGAAGGGGTGCCTGCAAAGTGAGTTTTTCCCTTTTTTTTAGTCTTTTGCATTTAATCAAATGGATTATTACCACTTTGAAATAAACAAACACTTTTTGATTTATCACACATGAAGTACTTTACTTTCACTCAGCTGAATTGACAGAAACTAGTAGTTACTCGTTACTTTGGAGTTTATTGTTGAATCTAAGTCTAAGTTGTGTGTTTTGCTTCCACAGGGAGACTATGGTGGTCCACTGGTGTGCCGTAAAGGGGGGAAATTAGTTCAGGTGGGAGTCATGAGTTCTGGTGGTTGTGGCCCCAAGGACGGCCCTGGCGTCTGTACTGAGGTTGCAAAGTATCTGACCTTCATAAACGACTACATCCACCGTCCTGGGAAAGCTCCAGCTGAGATGTGAACTCCTCAGAAACCGACACTGCCCGCTGTACTCATCTCATAAGCTGTCTTACTTTTAGCTTCTTTCCTGTAAAGCACTGTCACTCCATGGTAATGGTAGCTGACTGTGGCTCAGTTAACAGATTTCTTTGCATTAAAGCTTTAAAGCATCACTTTAGTGTCTCTTTGTGATTTGAAGAATTCCTGTTCACATGTTTCAAAAAAGGCACTGATGACACCCCCACGTCCATAGCAACGCCTTCCTTGGATACATAGTTATATGTGTGCAAATTTTTCAATCTGATTTTTAGCATTTTTACAAGTCTATATTATATACTGGGCCGGTTCTAGACAGGCATACATGAGGGGGCAGAGAGAAATGTAAAGACAAGACAACACTCTTTGCAGTCGTCTTTTCTTGCATCATTTCTCCTTGTGTCCTTTCATCTCCTCCTTCTCCGTCACCTCATCCACCTGATTCATTTCTGTGTTGTAACTACTCTGCAGTGACTAAATGTCATAACAACAGTTTGTTAATTGGATAAAATCAACGGTTATCTTTTCTTTCTTTCTTCTACTTTAGTAAATGTCCAGGTGAACAAAGGTGCTCCCTCTTCAGGAGACAAAGTGTACATATCACTTATCTTTGACAGCTTGCAGATGGTATAAAACTTTCTTTTTACAATGACAGACTTTTACCGCTTTGTTCTCACTTTTATTTATTTTGTTTTATTAAATACCTTTTAACTTTTCAGAATTTACACTCAAACCCAACCCATAATAGCCACACAGTGCACTTTGCAAATCCAACCAGCAGACTTGGGTGGGCGGGATCTAGTCTATGGTCTGCATGTTTGACACCCCTTAAATATTACATCATAGAAAGTCTCATTTTTGACACATTTGAAAGAGAGTCTTTCCAAATTTCGTTCACAATTTGACCACCTTGATTTGACCACTAGATGGCACTCTGCGCTCAAAAATATTTATAGTGTATATCCAACAACAGGAACAGAATAAACTGATGCGGTCAGAGGCACGTCATTCTTTTGACTAATTCTCATATTAACATGTAAAAAATAAAATAAAATACAGTATGCAGTATGGAACAATAACTAAAACAGATGTGTTCAATATTAATTTTGTGTTATTTATAACACATATAAACCTAGTGGGAGTGACCCCCCACAGAGGGACAAAAGGACCCACTGATGATCCTCTACCTAATCACATGAGCCAATGTTTAAAACTGGGTGTGGGTCCCAATCAGCCAGGGTTTCGGGTGAGCTCACTGTGAAACCTGGCCCCACCCTATCATGTGAATTCCTGAGGTCAGATGGCCCAGGATGTGAGTGGGCGTTAAGGCGTCTGGGAAGGGATCTCAAAACTGGATTATAGATGGCAGAGAGTTGGTGTCGTAACCCCCCGCCTCTGTTCAAAGATGGTCGCTCACAGTGGACATAGATGGCTTCTTTCACTCCTCTTTCAAACCATCTGTCCTCTCTGTCCAAAATGTGAACATTGGCATCCTCGAAAGAGTGACCTTTGACCTTTAGATGCAGATGGACTGCTGAGTCTTGTCCTGTGGAGGTGGCTCTTCTGTGTTGTGCCATGCGCTTGTGAAGTGGCTGTTTGGTCTCTCCAATGTAGAGGTCTGAGCATTCCTCGCTGCACTGTACAGCATACACCACATTGTTAAGTCTGTGTTTTGGAGTTTTGTCTTTCGGGTGAACCAGTTTTTGTCTGAGCGTGTTGCTGGGTCTGAAATGCACCGGGATGTCATGCTTGGAGAAAACTCTCCTGAGTTTCTCTGATACACCGGCTACATAGGGGATGACAATGTTGTTGCATCTGTCCTTCTTATCCTCCCTCGCTGGTGTCTGGTCTTCTTTTCTGTGCCTCTTTGCTGACTTTAAGAATGCCCATTTAGGATAGCCGCACGTTTTGAGTGCTTCCTTTACATGTGTGTGTTCCTTCTTTTTCCCTTCAGGCTTAGAGGGAACATGGTGTAGGGTCCTGATTACTCCAAGTCTGTGTTCCAGAGGGTGATGGGAGTCAAAAAGGAGGTACTATTTGTGGGGAAACTCCCACTGGGTTTAAATATGGGACTCTCCACCATTTGACCTTAGAACTGAAGAAGCTTCTCGGATGAGAGGTGAAACGTCTTCAAGCAACTCAAAGTTGAGACGCTTTTCTTTCCAAGCTCCTTCGACCCCGCATGCTACAAACTTTACTCGAGTCATTTAGACAGCCGTTAGCACATGATTCTCCTTATGGGGACCTGATATGTTTAATATGCTGCTGAGAATATAGCCCAGAAGAAGCGTATAGTATAGCTTTTATTTTGGAAAGAGACATTTCTCTGTAATAAACTCTCTTTTCCAAAGATGAGTGATTTCTCGATCAGATAGATTTTTTTATTATTATTTTGTTGTTTCAGCAACATTAAATTTAAAAACTGTACTTTTGAGTTAAAATATATATTTCTAATTTTAATAAATGACAAATTAAAAAGGCATGAACTTTTTTTGTATCGAAAAAATATCGAACTGTGACACCAAAGTATCGAACCGAACCGTGAATTTTGTGTATCGTTGCACCCTTAGTATTAATGTTTATTTTTATAAACACAATTTATGTTAGCATAGATGACGCACCTTGCTTTAAAATACTGCATTGTACCAGCTGCAAAGGCTATAAGAAAAACCAATATGAAAAGCAGGAAATAAAATCGACAGGTTTACCAATTTGTCATAAATAAATAAAAATTTAAAAATAAAAAAAAACGTAAACAGGAAGCTACTGGAGCCTGCAACCAAAATTCATGTTTTTTTTTTAAAATTGGATCTAAAATAGCTCATAACAGTAAATACTTTCCAGCTATTTTAGGGCATAAGTAATAAAAAAAATATTGGAATTAGTTAAAGCATTTTTGGGCTTGCTTAGGTGGTCCTGTTAGTAAACAAGCTAGTTACCAAGGAGACAAAGACATCAATGCCACCCAAACAGCAACCTGAAAACGTGAAGCAAAAACTGCAGTTCCTGGATTCGCCACTTGAGGCTGTCAGTCACCAAACACTTTGCTAAAATGCTTTACAATATTAAAAGTGCATTTACTGTCTGCTGTAAAAATGGTTTGGACCTTTGTTGTAGTGTCAATAGATTTTTTCTCTGAATCTGAACACCTCTAAGACTTAACATTAGGGACTTTACCACAATGTTGAACAGGAGTCCTGTTAATCCGAGTTACCTGGATTTAGCATTTTTGTGAGTTTTGCACCTTTTGAAGCATTTTTAAATGGCATTAGTCCAAGAAGTTTGTGCTAAAGGCTGACGAGTGCAATTTATGACTTCTTTACTTTGTCCCTTATTAGCAGGTTTGTGTGAGAGCCATATGCATGTGGATGACGCTTGCTAACCAAACTAAGCAGAGCTAGTTCACAACTTAACTCTTCCACCCAAAAGGACTTTTTAAAAATTACAATGGGAAGAATTAAAATGTATTTTCAAAAATTCAGAGTCCAGAAACCAGAGGGTGATTTCATTATAGCTCCGTCCATTACAGATAAAAATCTATATATTTGTTCATCTGTGTTGCCAAATTTACAGTTGCCCCCAACCTTTGACAGTGTGGGGCCAACTACCACAAAACACACATCCTCTTTGATGTCCATTGTACCTTATTACCCTGTATACACAAGAGCATGTTTTACTCAGCAGCAGAGGGAGCGCTGAATTGTGTCCTTTATGCTCAAGTTCTGGACAGACAGTGATTTCATTCAAAAGGCACACAGTGCACTATGGCTAATCTTAATGCAAAATAAAGAACGTAACCACATTTATGACTTTAATTAAACACATATAGACAGGTAGATGCTGCATCCAGTCATGTCAGAAGAGCTTGCTCAGGCGATACTAAGGCTTCTGACCAGCTCCTGTATGAAACGCCACTTATTTTAAATATATGTCAAACTAAGAAATAAGTAAAGTTCCACTTGTGAGAACTGGTTTTATATTTTACTTCTGACTGAATTAAAATGGATTCTGTCATGTTTGAACAAGAAGATGAACGCTTTAATCAAAGTAATGTATATGAGCCTGAAAATGACACTTATCAGTCCCTATGATGGGTTAGGTAGTCCTAACTTATCAGAATGCTTCAAAGCATTAACGTGACAGACATTAACATGTGTGCTTGAGTTGTACATACAAAATTAAGCACACTAAACATCTTGTACCATAAGTACAGTTGCAGCATTTGAACAATCGAAACTGCTTCAGGATCCTTTTACAGTTCAAGTACTTAGAAACTCTAACTGTGTTCTGCCTCCACAGAGAAATAAGCAAAAGGAGACCGTGCTCTCCCTGAGCTATATATGTATGTATATGTTGGCACAGTGTTCCAGTGAACAGCAGTTGAGCAATGCAGCATCTACATGTGTGTATAACACATCTGCCACCAACAAGTTACTAAATCTTTCCCTGTGAAGACTCACCAACAACTTTGGGCAAAATAATGTCTTTAGAATATCTGTCCTTAAAAAAAATGTAAAAAATAAATAAATTATATTTGAACCACTGCCAGTCCCCCGCCCCGACTGCTTATTCACCTAGAAATCCCTTTTACATAAAAATAAGCTTTTATTTTTTGGTCTGTTGATTGATGACACTTCACCATCAGTCCCAAACAGACTACTTAGCAGCTGTGTACACAGTATGCACCGACTACTGCATGCACTGCTTCCACCCTCCAGTGAGTGTGTGGCTTGTGCACGCAGAGATGGCTGCAGTCCTGCTCATAGTAGCAGCCGAGGCTCCTCCAGTTCCCTTCTTGAATCCTGCAGAGGCTGAGGAATGTGGTCGCTTCTCTCCACCTCTGTTGTGGATCTCTCCGCCTGCTCCTTCTCCTCTGCTTTCCGTTTCTCTGCCTTGGTCTTGAACCTCAGCCCGTGGCCTGTTAAACACAGGAAATAAACACATTTATATCACAGATGAGTCGATCCTTTTCATTTCTTGTTTTTTCTTTTTCTTGATTGTGGATTCACAATCTGGATAATTGCTGTATTGTATTGCTGTGGACTGTGTAACCCAGTCTAACACATTAATGTCCTAACATGTGGCGGTAATAAACTCTGGGAGTCTTTGTGTCAATAAATCAGCAGACAGTGTGATTAGAAATCATATCCACTACACAGGATCAACACACAGCACCTCATGAGTGAGTGAGTGTGTGTACGTACACACTTACTTGGACAGTCTGCCACTTCTTTGTAAGCCTTCTTCTTACAGCAGCCTCGACAAAGGCTGAAGACGCACTTATTTCCCTGCAGAGGAAAGTAAAAGCTCACAGGATTCAGGCTAACGATCAAATAAAAGCAAATTAAGTGGCTTAATCTCAAAAGCGGTGCGAATGGAACAAAACAAAGAATTTCTAACTAAATGTCATGTCTAACCTTTATGAAAATGTGCTTGAGCAACTGACAATTGAATCTAATAGCTCATCTTTTAATCTGTTGTCCAAACTAGAAGGTCAGTGTTTGAATTCTGCTTACCTTTGGGTTACCACATTGTTCACATTTGATGTATTTGGCTGCAGGAAGAAATAAGATGCACATTAGTGACCAGTGACTCACATTTTCAATGAGGAACTTGACAATTTACAAGACCGGTCAAAAGTCTTACAGCACCCCAATTTTTCCAGTTATTTATTGCAATTCAAGTCCAATGAAAAGTTTGAAATGGTACAAAGGTAAATGGTGAACTGTCAGAAGTTAAAAAAAAAAAAAAAAAAGGTAAGGTTACACAAAACTGAAAAATATGTACATAATGTACAAAAGGCCTTTTTCAGAGAACACAATATGGGTTAACAATTTAAAGCTGTTCTGCAGCAATGGAGGTTGATCAAGCTGGTGCTACTAATTCCTACAGGTGTTCCAACTTTTCTGGATTACTTACTGTGGCGGGGCGTGGGTGGCGGCGCCACAGCAGGGAAGGCGAATGCACCTGTGCGGCATCACAATCACACCTCGCCAGCTTCAGAGTGGTGTAGGGTCCCGTCATGGGGTTGCTGTCGATGTGTGTGCCTGGCAGCCGCAAAGCTGCAGCCCATTGTAAGTGTACAGCAACCGTGTGTGGGAAAAGTGGTTGAATAAAGATGCAACAAAGCATGGTCTGCCGTGGTCATTTACACTTACAACCCCCTCTGTCTGCATAAAAGCAGTGTGGTAACATACACTTGTGAGCATCACCTGAAAGTATTGTACTGCAGAAAATTCTGTGTTGCTACAAAGATGGCGCGAATAGGGGAATTAACAATGGAAGCGAGACAGACCATCAAACACTTAAAAATGTTATTCCTACAGAGAAATTGGAAAGAAGGTCAAGGTGTCAGTGAGCACAGTTTCCTTCAACATCAAAAGGCCTCAGAAACTGTGACAGGAAGAGGCCACAACTGAATCAGAGGACAAGTTTCTGAGAGTTAACCGCCTTGTGTGATCAGCGGCTCACAGAACAACAGCTTCAAGCACAGCTTAATAGTGGTATAGAAAGCAAGTCTCAGTCTCAACTGTGAAGAGAAGACTTCGAGCTGCAGGTATGACAGGACGAGTTGCAGCAAGAAAGCCATCGCTAAGACGTCAGAATAAGACAAAGAGGCTTGCCTGGGCCATGAAACCCCACCAGTGGAAGACTGGAAGTCTTGAATTTGAAATCTTCAACATGTAGGATCTTTGTACGCCATCAAGTAGGCGAAAGGATGGTTCCTCAGTGTGGCGCATCAACTGTCAAAGATGGAGGAGGAAGAGTGATGGTCTGGGGCTTTTTTTACTGGATCCAGGGTCGGCAACTTGTACAGAGTGATGAACTAAAACGGCTGCCACAGCATTCTGCAGTGCCATGCAATACTCTCTGGTTTGTGCCTAGAAAATAGTCGGGGTTCATCCTACGGCAAGATAATGACCATCGAGTCTCCATCGAGCTGGTTTGGGATGAACTGGACAGAAGAGTGAAAGCAAAGCAACCTACAAGTGCAACATTTATGGGACCTTCTGCAACAGATTGGGAAGGACTTTCTGAAGAATATTTGATTTCTATTGTAGAAAGACTCCCACGGGTGTGTTCAGCTGTTATATCTGTCAAAAGTAGATACTTTTTTTTTAAAACTCCAATTCCGTATTTGTACAATGCTTTCATTTCAGAGTGCAATGAGACATTAAAATGCATAATTTTCAATTAGAAAAACTGGAAAAATTGGGGTGTTCTAAGACTTTTGACCAGCAGGTTAAGTCGACAGCACAAACTTACGTTTCTGTTCGGGGCAGAAGTTCTTTTTGGGGTTGCGGGATCTCTTCTTCTGCTTGTTTTTAGAGAGTGTGTCAGCTGACTCACAGTCCTCCAGTGCCCTCTTCTGACAAACCGTCTTTTTCAACACTGATGCCTGGCTGTTACCGTTGGTAACCGTCTCTTTTGGCCTGTAACGTGATCATCCATCAGTGAGAAATCTTTTGAGAAGTGTGTTCATGGATCAAAAGATGTGCATTACTTTCTTTTTACTGAAGTAAGTAGAGATGTGTTGTGACTTACACTGGTCTGACATATGGCTGGCAGATCCAGTGGGGGAAAGGAAGTCCACTTTCTTTATCTTCTGAATCTTTTCCTTTGGCTATCTCCTCCTGAATAGACAGAAAGCCACAGTCAGGAAACTTTCAGTGCCGCAATGTCTCGATGCATGCTCAATCATCCAGGTAAATAAATCCCAAAAGGTACGTCCAGATGAACAGAATCAACCTTTTGGGAGGGTGCCATAACATCACACAAACCCATTGGCTGCATTTCAAACTAAAATATAGCAAAAATGTAAAAAGTCTATGCTAATGAATCTAATAATTTTTTCCTTCTTTTTTTAGAATTACAAAAACTTCCCAACTTGCGGAAAGGACAGTAAACACTTTCTACACTATGACATACAAATCAAAGGTCATGTGACCCTGAACAAGCAGCAACTGAACAAGCTGAAGCTCTAAACCAGGGGTGAGGAACTCCAGGCCTCAAGGGCCGGTGTCCTGCAGGTTTTAGATCTCACCCTGGGTCAACACACCTGAACCAAATAATTAGTTCTTTACCAAGTAGGACCGTGTGACATGACCAAATCTCATATCCTGATATAAGACATTTATCGTCCCGACAACGATATAAACCACAAACATTTTTCCTTTTTTGTAAATTCTGTGAATCTCGGGCAGCTCAACTTGCGTGAAGTGTTTCCAGCTGGGCGTTGTATACCTGGAGTCGACTGTTTTGACCGATGCATGAAACGATACATTTTTAGACATAAGTTGTAACGTCTGCCATTTTCTTTCTGAGTATTTATTACATGCGGGGAAAAAGCCTGTTCTAATGTTTGAGTTTAAGGGTTATTTTGAGCACCTGACGGCTCTTTTTTGCTTCTCATCCGTAAACTCTCTCCATACTCTTTTACGTGACTCTTGCGTAGGTGGTAGAAGAGGTTTGTCATGTTTGAGTCCATGGTGGAAACCAGTTTGCAGCAAAATTTGCATCGTACAGTTTTCTACTCCGTGTCAGACTTTTCATAACCAAACCATGTCCATGCTACAGAGGCAGCCCCTTGTTTAGGAATAAGGTCCTTGGTTTTTTTTTTTTTTACTGGTCCTTCTGTTTGTCATCATTTCAGTTTATTGCTAACGACAACGCATAAAAACAGTCGCTTGTCCATCCGTAGTGTGGTTATTTTAATTATAAGAGAAAGAGAGAACGTTAAGAAATTCATATAGCCAATACAGTGACCATCAAAACGATGAAAAAAAAAAAAAAATTGCCGTAAACGGTTTATGTTGCGACACCACGAAACAAACGATAGCGTAAAACGAAACGATAGACGTTTTCGTATCGCCATCTGATATATATCGTTATATCAAACAGTCCTAACTTCAAGACATGTTGAGGAGGTCATTTAGCCATTTAAATCAGCTGTGTTGGATCAAGGACACATGTAAACCTGCAGGACACCGGCCCTCAGACACCCCTGCTCTAAGCAGTTATACATGGTGTCAGTGCCGCTTTCCTTAAAGCTTAAAAAAAATCAACAGACAACATCAGGTTAATATCAGCATTTGACTGAAATATTAGTGTCTGCCTCTAAAAATCGAACTTTCTTGCACCTTGTAGGTGTTAAGGCTGTGATGACATCTTGACCACATGTGAAAACTATAGAGGAAATGGGTCATGGTGAGTTTCTAATGCAACACAAAGTCTACTTGCTACCGAACAATGCACCTCATTATCACATCATTCCACGGATTCTTTGGGAACTGTGTTGCTGAAATGCCTGTAGTACACAGACATGACTGCAGTCTACCCACTACACAGCACAGAACTATATAAAAACATACAATGATTACTTTAATAATGTCCGTCTGCTTCTGGTTTCACCTCTGTCGCTATGGTAATGCTGAGCTCTTAGCTACCTCCTCAGTTGTGCATATTTGAAAGGATGTTTCCTGTTTGTACCTGACAGCGAAGCCTCAGCTGTTTGCTAACGTCAGCCAAACCCTCCAGAGTCTTCACCTTGGCCAACTCCTCCCTCAGGTCCTGGTGGATCTGCAGCCTGAACAGACACATGCATGCAGCATGCAGGAAAGGTCACATTTTAAAGCAGTACTGCTGAGCTATAGCAGGAAGAAACATTGTGTATGTTTCCTACCCTGTACTAGATCACTCAATGAACAGCGAGCATGAAATATGATCTGGTGCAGTTATGTTTAAACTCAGTAACTGGGTAGACATGACACGCTATCATTTAGTCTATTAGGAACTACTGAGACCTTCCTGGTGTCATGCCCGATGTTAAAATAAGCACAGAGGACAGATGTTCATCTATGCTGGCACCTGAAATGTGTTGTAGGTCATCACAGAGAAAGTTTGATCCACCACAGCTTGTATAGGAAAAGATGGACACTGTGATGTCACTTATTGGCCCTGATGTTTTAAAACACACATAATAGACGAGGGGCGGAGCTCCTAAACCAGACTTTATCGTTTTTTATTACTCCACACTGTGTAAAATTAAAATCATGTTGTATTCAGTAATTTAAACTAATGACTGAGGCAATAAACTCATCAGCAAGTATTTTTTTGAGCTTATAAATCAAAGAAGCCATATTTGACTCTTGGACCAGTAGCATTTCTGGGAAACAGAATCTCCAAGTGCAGGAGGCAAAGAGAGACATACGTGTGATGCCACAGCTTGAAGAGGTGGGCTCGAACATAGGACAGAGTACATGGAGGATACCGCTTCACCACCTCTAGATACTCCTCAGCCATTTCCCACACCGGGGGGCTGCGGCCTTCAAACAGCGCTGGGTTATGGAGGTTCCCCTCTAAGAACAATACAACACAGAAATTGTGGTTGCTATGGTCGTCATCGTCACATCAGGGAAGAAAAGTAATAAATAAAACAAACTCCTGCTCCTGACCTGCACTCATCACTCCCTGCACGCCTGTTTCCTGAATGCAGCGCTCCACATCACTGAGGTGCTGGATGTTGCCGTTAGCAAATACTGGAATATTTACCGCCTGCCTGTAACAAATCACAGAAGTCAATATACATTAATGTTATTTGGCTCATCTGCTTCATGGTTCATCTGATTTTGCTTTAATATCAAAGCTACTGCATTTAATTATTAGTTAGGAAACATTGGAAACAGGAATACATCCCACATCAGATACAGAAGACGAGCAGCTCACCGTACAGCCTTTATGTGCTCCCAGCTAGCGATACCTGTCATGGCGCCTTTCTGGTCTTTGGTTCTGCCGTGCACTGTCAGCAGCTGGGAGACACGTCAAGACCCATCAACACAGATTTATTCTAATGCTTCTGGAAACACCATTTAAAGCAAACACACAAATCAACAGTCAGAAATGAAAATAAACTATGCAGCTGTGCGTTACGCTCGTTCAGTGAAGCGTAAAACAAAGATGGCCGAGCCACACCAAACATCAGATTTGCTGAATTTACTCCTCATCACTGCTCCAGTTTAAAAAATGATTTTCTAATGTAACACACTGTTTTCTGTGCATGTAGTTTTCCTTAAAAGCTCTTATTTGTAAAAGGACTTTACATAGAAATGGAACACATCCTTAAAAATACATACTGGCAAAGTTTGCTTATGGTGACTTTTACAATAGCCCAGCTTCAGCCCGCTCGTCTGTGTCTTTCTATACACTGTACGAAGCTCAACTTAGAAAAATCTTTCCCCCCCTTACAACAACAGCTAAAGTAAAAGGACAATTCTGTTTCTGCTACAGACTGGGAAGTGACAAGCCGGAGAGCTGGCAAACTCATTCAAATTACTGCAGAGGTCATACCTGACATCCAGCGTTCTCGAGCATCTGGGCATAGCGGACTGTTTTTTCAACCTCCTTGAACACACGGATCTTGCACGTGATTGGCACTTTGAGCTTTTCGTTGGCTAAGCTGACTGACAAATAAGGGGAAAGTTTAGGTGCCTGAGATTAAACTGATTAAACAAACAGAAGATGTGGGAAAAATGTTTTTGCATCATGAATATTCGTGAAAACATTATGTCCAACAACAGTCTTCAGTCACACAAACACAGACTTACCCATTTTTTCCAACAGGTCCCATTCATCTTGTAGAAAAACTCCATAGTGTCCTTAAAAAAAAGAAAAGAAAAGAAAAGAAAAGAAAAACATCAGTGTCAAGTTCCCCTTTCAATCGTCTGCAAGTTTGGCAACACTATTCTTTCTGATGCAATCTTTAAGAAATGGTAACGTAAGAAATTCATGGGTTCATATATGAATGAAAGGTTTACCTCTCTTAGCGATCATCTGTGGACAGCCCAGGTTGAGATCAATCGCGTCACAATAATCCTGAGCCAGCAAAGCTGCCTGAAGGAACACCTCTGGATCATTGGCACAAAACTGACACACAGAGGATGGAACACTGATTTAGATTAGGCAACAGCCGATGAAGTGATTAAGGTGATGTAATGGTTACATTTGTTTCTTTCTTTCTTTGCCTCTGATAAGGAGGTTTTGAAATGGGCAAAACTGAAAATTTAAATTAAAAATGGACAAATAACAAAAGCCTGCACTTTGAATTTTTTTTTACTGCACCACAAACATCTTGAAGTTTAAAAAGAAAACAAATAAATAGAAAATACAAAACTATTAAAAGCATTTTTAAATTACTGATATTACTATTTAAAAACAAACAAACAAAGAACTCAACTCAGTGTTGATTCTCACCTGTGCAATAAGAGGGCTGTCCTCCTCACAAACTTCATTGTAGAGGTTTTCCCTCCTGTAGTTGGCGTCACGGACAAACACCTGAGCATGCAGCATGGGGGTGTAGCAAAGCTGAGCACCGTGTCGGCGGCTAAGCAAACGCCAAGCCAGCTCACTCTGGTCCACCATGGGAGCCACCACATAGCGTGCTTCTTTCAGAGTTTTCCTCCAAAACTCAAAGCCCTGAAGTTTGGCCATCACAGCTGACTTTGAGAGAAAAGGAAGGATAAGAGGTAAATGGACTGGTTCTTATACAGCTTTTCTACTCTACCTGAGCATCCAATGCTCTTTCTATGCCGGTGCTTTCTAGCTAACATTCTCACACGTTCATTCAAACAACTGGGGGCAAGCATCTTGTCCAAGGATGTTTGGCATAAAGACTGGAGCAGTCAGGGATCGAACCATCAACCTTGTTATTAGTAGATGACCTCCTGAGCTGCACAGGTAAAAAGTTATTTTCCTGCAGTTTCAACACAAAAACTCATCAAGGCATAAGTTTTTGAAAACTAGCCAACTACTCCAAACCCTGTCAATATAGCTAAAATAAATAATAAAACAATAACGTAGAAGCAGGAAGAATAAGCAGAGGTAGCCCATCAGGTAAATGTGTAACAGATACATTTTTTGATTCTCCATGGGGAGAATCAACCCCAACCAAATGTCCAGTGTTTAGCCTCTGACCCTTCAACGCTGTCTGGGGATTTTACTTTCAGGGCTTCATTCCTGACTGTGTTATTGGGCTGCAGTATAATTATAGTAGTGAACTGTCGGTTTTCTTTTTATTTATATTTGGTTTAAATCGTCCACTTATTATTAAAATTAATTAACGAAAGTGTACTCTTTATTTTTCCATGACAATTGGACAAATTGTGGCTCCAGTGTCTCTAGCATGTATCACTGACTCTTCAACTGTGCCTGAACTCTGTCAACATGTAGCTAGCAAAGCTAACCGCAGGGAACAGACATGTACCGCATGATGTCCCACCGTAGTAAGAAACACAGCCACCAGCTGAGAAACAGAGAAAATATCCCAACATAATGGTACAGCTCTAAGAGATTTACGTTTAACCTTGCTCATGTGTTGACTGCACCTATTTAAAAATCTAGGAATTAGGGTTTTTTTCACCTGTAGTCCTGGCGTTGCACTTTCCAACTATGTGTAACAGCGAAACATCGCCGGTCGGAAACCTTTTTCAGTTTCCCCCGCTTGTTCTTCTTCGTCTGCTTAAAAGCAGTTGGCATCAGTCTACGTCAGTGTTTTACTGACCCCATGTGCTGTGGTGCATGGAAGCACCAGACGAAACAATAAATCTACAGTACACGTACAATGACCGTACATATGTAATTATTTTAAGTGTTCGGCATTTTAAATCTCACTTAAGAAAAAGTGCATAACTGCTTGTCATGCAAACAATTATTTTTGCAATTATATTATATTACTTTCTGTGTGCAGTTTGCATGTTCTCCCCGGGTACTCCGGCTTCCTCCCGCAGGCCAAAGACATGCACTTTGTGGGGATAGGTTAATTGAAAAATCTAAATTGCCGACAGGTGTGAATGTGAGTGTGAATGGTTGTCTGTCCCTGTGTGTTGGCCCTGCAACAGACTGGCGACCTGTCCAGGGTGTACCCCGCCTCTCGCGCTATGACACCTGGGATAGGCTCCAGCACCCCCCGCGACCCTGAAAAGGATATGCGATGGATGGATGGAAAAATATAGAGGTACTATGTTTAGTTTTAATATCTGTTAGTTTGGTCAAAATGTTATTGCAATTTGCCTGATGAGGTATTCATGGGATGTCTACAAGACTGTGAGTGCACTGCCTTTTGTAAGTCTGGCCTCTGACACACACCATCCACACAAAAACAAAAACAACACTGAAACTATATTAAATGTAAAATAAAACAATTTCCAGTAATGTATTTAATGGGGTGGCACAGGCGAGAGAACAAGAACATAGTGACGGTGTTGTGAAACAGACATTCTCTTGTTTAATGGTGTTGGGCCAATCATATTTTAGGTCACCCCACGGACCATGTGGCCAATGATTTCTGAGTCAATTCTTGTGCAATTCTAAAATGTAATTTTCTAAATAAAGTTTTCTTACATAAATACATAAATAATATAGATTTAAACAGACACTTGAACACAGGTATTTAGATTACATTTTTATAGTCAAGACATTTACACAGTCGTAAAGATTTATTTCTGCATTAGAACATATGGTTTCCACACAAAATAGAGTCAAATCATTTAGAACAAAAGTCTGGATCGGTCGTATTTGACTGATGTGACATTCAGCAGGAATTAGTAGTAAGGTGCAAACAGCGACATTATTCCATTTTCGGATTAACAGTCAACATGGTAACACAGTTAATGGAATAAAAACAAAAACAACATAAGCTCACATAGTCACATATCTCCTCACCACCTGTTTAACTGCAGCTTCACACAGAAATGCAAATACTATACATTCAAATAACACTGACTCGTGTTTTAGCTTTAAACAACAAAACGAAGACAAAGCATAACAATCAGCGACAAGCTCTGTTTGTTTAAAACACAACATATAACATACACAATTTAAAAGAAACAAGAAGTCCAGCATTTATTGCAGGCAGGTTGCTGTTGTGGTAGGCCGTCCTACAAACCAGTCAACCTTTTAAATGATCCAAATGTAACCATTATGGCCCTTTACTAATCTAAGTGGCACACAAAGCCCCACTCACTCATCTTTGCATGAGAAATCACCCGTCACCATGGATACTGACAGATCTCAATGTTCACCCAGCTGTTGTGTTATATTTCCTGCTGTCTCCTTACTGAATTGTAACAATCCCGTTTGATTTCAACTTAGATGTTATTTATTGATTCTTAGATTTTACTTAAAGTAATGGTCTGAGAGAACCGATGGTTATGAATCCAAGTATTGCAAACACAGCTGAGAAAATGTATTTCAGGAAGCACCCTGCAGCTTTTTCAGTTACCGATTTAGACATAGAGCAGTAGTTACTATAGTCACTCTCTTTTAGCTACGTGTTTGGTCTTTATCCAAATCTGAGAGATATAATATTTATAACAGAAAATATGTTTCTTTTTTCTCCTCACTGTAAAACAACTTCCTGGTAGGTGCCTGCAAAAGTTATACAAAATAACATAATAGTAATAGTAATGGTAAAAGTCTGCACAGTTCCATCCCAGGAGTTCCTTTCATGTTTTCTGCCATCTTTCAAACATTCACTAAGTTTGCATCTCTGCACTTATTTCTGTGAAAATTAAAATGAGTGACACAAAGCCAAAACAATCCCTTTAATGTTCTGTTTCACTGAAACACAAACAGTACACAACAGTACAAAGCATGTAGGCAACATGAGGAAAAAGCTTTATAGTCATCAGTAAATCGATGCTTTAACCACACCTGTTTCATCCTAAGGGGACACACATATAGTCAGCCTGTCCTTTGGTCCATACAAACATACTGCGTCTTTATCCTATCTGTATATAATTTGCTTTGTAGCGTAACTTGGTGCTTTTGGGGGATGAACAACACAATCAGCACATTAAGCCCAACAACAGATACCCACAGTCAAACACATGTACCACAGTGCATTGAAAACATCTGATGCTTGATAGTGAAGGAGGGTAAGAGAGACTGGTACCTTCAACCAAAAGCACCTCAGACTGAACCGACTGCTTCCTTCTTTAAAACATCACACTTTTAACTAATCCTAACATCACAGTGAAGCTACAAATAATATTTGGAGCCTGCTTCTAATCCACACACAGCTACCACTTGACTGGGAACAACCTTTAGAAAGTTCGTCCTAAAAAACATAGTTTTATCAATCTCAATGGTGACGGCACAGATCAGGTGGGAAGATCATTTTCAGCTTTGGACATCGGGTGGAGAAGAGCTTCTGGTCATTACACAACCATCATTACATAAAGCTTTCCTGACCCTTTAAAACAAGCTGAATCAACCATTTACACAACATTTACTGAATTTCTCATGTGTTTTTTTTTTTTCAAGTAAAAACACAGAATATTCTTTCAAATTATCCCTCAACTTTATTTGCTGGTGGCTTTTAACATGAACTGTATAGACAAGGCAGTGTTGTGACAGCTAACCACACTAAAAACATCTAGAGATAAAATATTGCTCACAGAACTATTAGTATTTGATACGGCAGTGACTCTAATCTGCCATATCAGACACGAACACCTGGGTTAAACACTACATCATGGGGAATAACTATCCAGTACGGTGTGGTCCCGTTCACGTCACTGAGCTGTGTGGAAAATAATCCCGTCTTCTACCCATTTTCACAGGCATGTTTCAGGACTGGGGGTCATGCCACCATTTAGTTGGGGCTCTTTCAAGAACTTTTCCACTTCCTGTGAGTCCACTGTTACGCTCTTTGGCCTGACCTCGTCTACTTTTTCTTTGTCTTTTTCCTCCTCCTCCTTCAACTCCTTCGATACCTCCCTCTTTGTTTCCTTCTCTTGCTCCTCTCTCTCTCCCTTCTCCTCTTCATCATTTACCTCCAAAGGCCTGCTGCATACTTCTGTCTTGGTGTCATCTGTGACTGTGATGCACTCAAGTTTGTGAGATGGCTCCTGGGGCTTCCTTTTGATAAAGAAGAAGTTGCAGGTAGCTAGAACCACAGCGGAGAGGACCACCTCGCTTCCTGCCAGCAGGAAGACGTACATGTATTTCTTGGTGGCATCGAGCAGTCGGCCTGAAACGGAAGAACACAGTGAAAGATGCAATTATATAGTAGAAATGATTTCGCTTCATTTGTGGCGATGCTGGTTTAAATAAACATATAGTGACACGTTTATGGATTCTTTAGAATTATCTGAATTTCTGCACTCATAACTCATAAAATGTGCTTAAATCATCCTGTACAATAAAACTGTAGACAGAAAGTAACTAACCCTAACATATGAACAGTTTTTATGAAGTATACATGCAGTCCAATTAAAAAAAAAAAAAACTAAGTGCATGTTTACCAGTCCAAAGCAATTAAAAGGGTATGTACCCACATAGCAAGCAGGTCTGGCCCGGATCTGGTGTCAAGCTGGCACTTCTGACTGACCGGTGTCATGGCAGAGTGTTTGTCAACCAGATGTGCGCTAGGTCTGGCAATGACGCCACTGTTTATGCGATGGCATGCCATATCTGGCTCGATTATGTATGTGGCCCAGGCCCATAGAAAACAGGTCTTCCCTGGGTCCGGCATCAGGTGGCACTTCTGACTGACTGGTGTCATGACAGTGTGTATGTCAACCAGATGTGGGCCAGGTCTGGCAGTGATGGCACTGTTTATGTTCCTATTGTCCTATTTTAGTTAGAAGACTCAAATGCCATTTTGCAATACTACACTGCTATGGTAGCCAACGTTTCAAATGCAGGTTTGACAGGTTTGTGAGTGTACACTTTGTCCAAAACTTAGTGACGGTTTACTCATCTTTGCCAGTGGATGGCTGTAGCTCAGGAGGTAGAGCAGGTCACCGACTGATCGGGAGGTTAGTGGTTCCCTGTCTCCTCCAGTCTGCATGTCAAGAGTGTTTATGTGAATGAATGTAGTTAGGAAGCACTCAGTTTAGAGAAAGTGTGCGATTGGGTGAATGTGACATGTTGTATAGAGCACTTCTGGCGCATGTTGTTATTACATGGCTTGATTAAGGTGCACATTAGGCTGACATCTGGGGCCAGAGCTGAAACAGTTCTGGGCCAGCAGTGTGTCTACAACTAGCCCGTGGCTGCACACAACTTACACATGGCCCACATACCACAAAGAATGACGGCCCTTTGGTGGCCCAGATCAGGTTTGCCAGAGGTAATGTGAACACCTCTTTAAAAATCATTTTGGCAGTTTACCAGCCTGGTCTTTACTGGCTACAATTAGCATGTTCATGACTGTCCAGGGTAGAAAAAGATGAACAAGTATGAACAATGTCCTCTGGACAGATAAAACCAAAGTGGAGATGGCCATTAGGCACAGCGCTACATCTCATGCACGGTGGTGGAGGAGTGAGGATTTGTGTTTGTTTTGTTGCAGCGGGATGTTGACCCCAAGCACGGCAGCCAAGCTGCAACAGAATATATGAAAAAAAGTGTTGCAATGGATCTCAACCTGATTTAAACGCTGTGGTGGGACCTTAAGAGAGCTGTGCTTAATTGAATGCCAGCAAACCTCCATGACCTGAAGTAATGCTGTAAAGAAGAGTGGGTGAAAATCTTAAATCTTTCACATGATTTGAGATAGTGATACAGTGGTACAGAGAACAGTTACTTCAAGTTATTTTTGTTAACAGTGGTTCTACAGCTACTGAACTGTGTATAAGACATGAGCCAATTAAATAATCACTAAAGTCCCAACTATGACCCGTTGGTCTTGGATACAACCTCATATCTTCCTGTTGGGCTCACGATCAACAGCTA